AACTGGGTAAGATGTAAGGATTTCTATGTCCTTCCTAAACAAAAATCAGTGAAACCCCAGCCTTTAGCACTGAATTTCAAGAGGTTTTATCTGTTGCCACACCGAGTAAAGTAAAAGGCTGTAACTACCTAGTAAATGTAAAACTGAACAACCAAATCATACCATTAGGAAAGAATGAAGAAATACACTTTTGTCAGCATATCAATCTTGGTCAATAACTATTAATTTATTTGGTAGTTTTAGAACCTTCTATTTCCCCATACTTAGCATGTAAAACCAAGAGTTCATTTACAGGATAGTAAAAACATAGCTACCATGTTCATAAATTTTTTATAATTCCCAAAGCAAACTACATTAATGTTGATGGTCCTCTTACCTGACACTCAGCAAGCGAAGCTCTATGTAGTGAAAATCCCAGAAGTCCTGACAATTCATACCAAGGAACAAAACTCAGGTACCATGTTCCTGTTCTAAGTAAAATCTTATACATTCAACAAAAGGGCCATCTTACCAAGCTTTGGGAATAAAAATCAAGAAAAACAATTCATCCATTTTGTAAATTTTCCTCCCTGAGCCCTGACCAAAGTTCTGCTTTGAGCACAAGGAAGACCACACTTTAGAAAGCAGAGGCAGCATGAATGAAAAAGACAGAAACGGGGGAGCTTCTTTAATTCCAGAGTTGCATTTAGGTCAGAAGTTGCTTGGGGTGTCTGAGAGGCTCAGTGGGTTGAGCAGAGGCCCAGCTCAGGGCATGATCTCACAGTTCACAGGATTGAGCCCCGAGTCAGGCTCTGCGCTGATAGCACAGAGCCTGCTTGGGACTCTGCCTCTCCCTCTCTCTGCCCTTCCCCCACTTGCACTCTCTCAAACATTAAAAAAAAAATTGCTCTTAAAGGTTCTCAGTGTTTATAGTTGAGATAAAATCAGACACATCTGATTTCAAACTCAAACCAGGCCTACAGATTAGTTCTGGTCCTTAGGTTCAGAAGTCAATGTAAACAGAAACCCACACCACAGGCAGATGTAACTACATTCTGCCCGTTGAGGTTTCTGACACTTGAGTCCCAGGGCTCTAGCTATTTCTGAAAGGATCAGTGAGCATTTGACAGAGTAAAAGAGCTTAGTGGGTTTAGAGTATCTCCTCCTCCATCCCATTAAGTTGTTCTGAATATTATGAATAAAAAAGCTATCCATTAAAATAGTTATAGAATACAAAATCCAACATAAATACACAATTGCAAACATCATGGTGGTTCTTTATTTAGATTATGTTTTCAATGAGATCGTGCCTTTAAATAAGAGTTTCACAGCCCATCATCTACCGTCCTTCATTTGTTCATTCATGCATTCATTTAGTTCAAATAATACAGAGGAGAGGATGGGGAGAAGTTACCGGGGTGGAGGCTGCAAGAGGAGAAAAAGGAAGACTGTAGCTTTACCACAGAAGAGATGACGGAAGTATCAGTCTTGGGCCGGGAGGAGAACCTTCCCTCAGGCCTGTAGAATGTGCTGACTGCAGGGAGGCTGGGCGCCAAAAGTCGAATACAGGCAGAGGGTTATATGCTCTCCTTTGTTAAAGCAATTTATAGTCCTTTTCCGTGTCCAAAGCATTCTAATATCCATTATCACATTTAATCCTCACAGGAAGGGTTAGTCATTTTCCCATTCTACAGATGAAAATGCTGAGGCCCAAGGGACAATGACTGGCCCAGTATCACACAACCAGTAAGAAGGCAAGAGAGGAAGGACTCCAGCCCAGATCTTCCCCTCAGTCAGGAGCTTTGTGCACAATCCTACTGCAGTATACTTAAGTTACTCAAGTAAGACAGATCACAGAAGGTCAGGATTGGAAAGCAGTTTAAAGATCAAGTCTAGTCCTTTCATTTTACATGTGCCAGAAATAGGTACTAAGTGGGGCAAATCAGGACCTAACAGAAATGGAGTCACAACTCTGGTTTCCTGACAGCTCCCAGTCTTTCCACTCTGCCACCCTGCCTCAAAATTAAAAGAAATACAAATGTTTTGCACAAACTGGTACATGCCAAAGGTCACTGGATGTCAACAGCAAACACCTACTCCCCCTGAAACTCAGCAGCAGGAAAGGTGGTGGCAGCCGCCCCTCTCTATGCCCAGAAATCTTAAGGTTTTGGAGAAATGAACACAAGCACCTCCACAAAAACAGAACTGCTAAAAAATCCATTTAGAACTGGCACACGTATGTGCACACACCTAGTACGTCAGACTTATTAATAATTTTTCTTCAGACAAAAAAGCTCTTACGCACCTGCCTACTGTATTTAATCAGTGAGACATCCTTACCGAAGTATATTTATAGTTGGGTTATATGGTTACATAAACAATCACATTATACAGCTTGCTTTAAAAGTAATGAGATTTTCAGAAAACATCTAAACTGGGAATCCATCCACCCACCCACCCAGCCAAGGGCTGACAAAGTAGCAATTACTGTTCTAGACATTCATTCATTCATGAGACCATCAAATAAATCTAACAGCCTTGCTGTCTGTAATGGACCTAACTCTCAAGGCGCTCAGTCTATCCATGGTAAAGTACTACAGCCAATAAACTTAGCACTTTCATAAAAGATGCTTGTGTCCACAAACCTGTTAGAAAATCAAGTCAAATCCAATCAGACTGCATTATATAGAACCGGTTCAATTCTGAAGGATAATTTCCCCTCCAAAGGGTACATATCTTGGAGGGAGAGCTGTAGGGGGGAATTACAAGGAGATGCTCAATAAAACATTTCCTGAGTGACTAAATGAACTAAATGGGTTTTCCTGGCCCTTAGTGATAATCCTGTGAGATTCCAGGAAGAAAGTAGCTCACTTATCTTCAAAGAGCGACAACACAACTCAATATGAATATTGTGATTCAGAACTTTGCCTCCGTCATTCTTGGCTTTGCCATTTAGAGAACTCCACCAGTGGACACTAAGGTAGCAGGGGGCATGAGAGTCTGTGCAGGTCCCTGTAATATATGCATCAAGATTTCAAATGGTCCAAACTTAACTTTGTCGATTTAGGAACACATTAGGGGAAAGAAAAAAATCTTGTAAACAATTAACCCCTATAAAAGAAGGCAAAAAGAATTTTTAAGATTTGGGAAGAATGACTATAGGAGTGCTGATCCACCCCATATATTTCAGGGTAAAGCTCCTCTCCTTCATCCTTGGATCAGGAGGGACAAAACCCCAAACACTCTGAGGCTGAGGCAGGCAAAAGAGTGCTGAGGTAGGGGAGGGTGCCTGGTGGCTCAGTCCGTAGAGCATGGGACTACTGATCTCAAGGTTGTGAGTTCAAGCCCAGCCTCGAGGTTGTGAGTTCAAGCCTCATGTTGGGCGTGTAGCCAACTTTAAAAGAGTGCTTGGGCTTCTCAGCCTGGGGATACCATACGACCAATAAGCAACCTTACCTCTGGAAACAATTCCAGAAAGGACCTCATTGAAGACACTATAAAAGACTGTGGTTTTGTTCTTTAAAAGTTCTACTTACTGAACTTTTATTCCCTTCCAACGAAACCACGGAAGATTTGTCCTTGAGTATTAACTTTAATAATATGACTTCTGACCACATAACACAGCATACATTTCTGACTGCAAGTAAAACACACCATTAGAACACAGTTTGTAGCACGTATCTGGAGAAATCACATTCCCCACCCCCGGCATAACCATTCCCTCTCCTGAAGCTTGTACACGTGACAGCTCTCACAGAGTGAAGGTTCCTCTGGTGGCTGCCCCACCTGCCTCCCGTCCCACCCTACCCCTCAGCAGCTTGAAGGGATTCCTGGCATCATTTTGCTTTTTGCTGTTCCAGCTCTTGGGAGTTCACTCCAGCTTCATGGCTCTGCTTCTAACATAACATCCCTGTCTAAAACACACACACACACACACACACACACACACACACACACACACACACCTTTCATTTTTATTTTTTGAACACAGCGGGTCATCTGTGAGACCCCAGCTACCCTTTCAGTCACAGGATAGGTCAGGAATTCTGGTCCCTGAAGTTCCTCAAAAAATACTGCTCAAAAACCAGGGATTTTCCATGACTTCCTTATCATAGAAATAAGTGAGCTTATACTACGCTATTTTATCTGAAAACACTTAAATCCATTTCTGAAATTCAAATCCAATCAATACATCTGCGTATTGTATGAGTGAACGTTTCAGTAAAAACTCCAGACATTTGTCTTCTTTTACATGACACCAACATATATATTGTTTAAAAAAATAGTTCCTCCTTAACTTTCAAACCTTAAAAGTCAAAGAATTTCCTTTCTCTGGATTCTGTAAGTCCTAACTGCTATCATCCAGGCTCAGGAATAATTCTGTATAAAAGAATAAGCTTTTTAAAATCAATTAATTCTCCTCTAGAACAAAAGGGCTCTGGGGCGCTGGCTAGACCAGGAGGGAGAAAACAATAAATGGGAGGGGTGGGGGGGTGGGGAGGCGGAAAAACTATATATAGCCCTTCTAACACAAAATAGCTGGGGGAGGACTGGGGGTCTGTGCCAGTGAAGGAGGAGAGTCTCAACACAGTCATGGCTTGGTGTCTCATTCTTGGGTGGCTGGCAGATCCTCTGAGGGGTCTGAAAGAAAAACTACCCGGATAGCAGGAGAGAGGCCCCAGCCTCCTGGGAGAGACAAGGCAGCTACAATCAGGACACAGTGCGGGTGGACACACAGCAGTTCACCGTGTAAAAGCCAAGTGCTACCTAGGAGACTCAAGATAACAAGAAGCTTCTTGATTTGTAAACTTGCACTCATAAATACAAACCTGCAAAATAGAATTGAATTCAGTGCGTTTTTCAACAGCTCTTTTCAACAGTGATACACAATACTCTTCCTTTTGGAATCAGTGATGTTACACAGACATGTACTAAATAGCCATTTTCCAAAGCAACGTTATAGTTGAGAACAGGTATTCTGTATCAAGAGGCTAATACTGCTACTGTAGCGCACGTACGTGTTAGGGTCTGACAAGGATCTTACTGAGGATGGCATCATAGTAGGGACTGAAGACCATCTTGTTATAGTTGACCAGGCGGACAAATTTAACAGCAACTTCCTCCAGCTCTTTCTGAACCGGACCCAATCCCCCAGGTACCGTAGGCAATGGCTTCTGATGACCTGAGGCAAGGTAGCTTTCTAAGAAGATCAGGATTCGGGAATCTGTGATAGAAAAGAAAGCAGTCAGTTGTTGTTCAGGATGACTTTACAAACTTCTGAGTAGGCTTCAGTGTTTATCACAAACATCCCTTTTTCAGGCAAGTCTTCCCTGCCCACCCTTAGTGCAAGTACCCACAGTACTTTGCCATTCTGAACATTTACCCCATTTATAACATTTCCTCTCCCTGCCTAGTTAGTTAGTTCCAAGAGGGTAGAAGCACGTTCATCTTGTTTGCCAACCCCTCCCCCACCCTCGCCAGCACCCAGCACAGGGCCTGGCATGAGACCTGGCCCCCAGTAAAAGCTCAAAGCTCAAAATATATTTGGAAAGGAAAAATAAATGCGTCAATGAACAAAGGGGGACTAGAGTGTTGACAGGTTCTCCTCTCCAAGGAGCAAGATACACTGAGACCACCGTGAGCCATTACTGAAGATCCCATAAAAAATGGGGTGGGAGAGGACTAACGCAGGAATTACAAGTTCAAAAACAAAACAAGAAGAGCTCCTGGGCGGCTCAGTCAGTTAAGCATCCGATGTCAGCTCAAATCATGATCTCCAGGTTTGTGGGCTCAAGCCCCAAGTCGGGCTCTGTGCTGACAGCACAGAGCCTGCTTGGGATTCTCTCTCCCTCTTTCTCTTCCTCTCCCCCCACCCTCTCTCCCTCTCTTTCTCAATAAATAAAAACTCTAAGTAATAATAATAATAATAATAATAATAATGCCTACAGTGGAAGGCCATGGAGTTGTGGGCATTTGCAAACTTGGACTACTCTGAGAAATAATTTAGGTTGATTTTTTTTAGCCCATTCCTCTCTATGATGCTTTTGCACTGTCCTCATCAACCAAAAGAATATGCAAGCCACACTTCCTGCAGATTTTATTACAAAAGCAATAGGGGCATTTATGTTAAATGGGTTCTTTCAAACTGCATGCCTACCCCCTGCCCTGCAACACCCTCTCAGGTGCAAATGACCTCTGGATCCCAATACACACTGACAGAGCAACTGCTGACCAGACCCATCACCCCTCTTCCAAAGTTAGTTTGGTTTCCTAAGGTTCTCAGAGCTGGAAGCCTCACCCAGACCTGGAGATCCTCATATCATTCCTACTCCAGGGCTGGCTTTTACCCCCAGGTCTGTAACTGCCTGTTAGTAAACAGCCAAGATGGCAGGGCACAGAGTAGCTTATTAGCCAGCAGTCTATTTACTGCACTTTCCTGCATCTCTACCAAGGTCAGTAACATTAATCCTGATGATCCTTATACCTCTGCAAGAGGCTTCTCCCAAGTGACCCACACATGACATCATGCCCGATGCAGGACTGGGATGAAATCATTTAATTCTTAAAAAACCATCAATCCCTGTAACTTTTTCCATAAAATATTACTTAAGAATAAAAAAAGAAGTCATGGTATTAGAAGCAGGCTCATGTCATTGGTTTAGCCTCTACTCCAACCTGAAATCTGGTAATCATGGATCATTCAGCTTTTGCCTGAAGGCTAATTGTCATTTACATGTTGAATATCTATCTAGTTTCATAAAGAAGCTAAAGAATGATTTCAAAATTAAAGATAAATGGGAATTTTAAAAATTCGATGAACATTTTTTTAAGATTTCATTTTTAAGTAATCTCTACAGCCAACATGGGGCTCAAACTTAACAACCCCAAGATCAAGAGTCACATGCTCTACCAACTAAGCCAGTCAGGTGCCCCAAAATTAGATGAACACTGTATTCCTCGATCAACCAGAATTTTCCACAGTGCTACTGCTGTGATGATGAAAAGTAACAGCTACCACATGGAGTAATATTTTTAATCACAGCTCTCTAGTGAGTACTTCTGATGTGCTGCCCAATACAATGACAAGCATTTTATGGATCTCATGCCCTGCAGTCCTCCCAGCAACTGCATAGGGTTGTCAGTATTACCCCTTTGAGAGATGAGGAGTCTCAAGCATCCAGTCACCCGCTCAAGAACCACAGCAGGTGCTTGTGAAGAAAACCCGTGCCCCCTCCTTCACGCTCACCCCGCATCCTCAACACTCTGGCACCAGATGTGGGTGAGGGTGAGGGGTTCCCACACCAAGCAATTCTCTGCGACTCCAGCTGGGTGTCCTACAATTGCACTCAATTGCGACACCACCTGGAGGGAGTGTCACATCCCACAGGTCAAGGGTTCAGTCCCATGAGGCTGCCCCCCCCCCCCACTTCAGAAGCCAACCACAAGTAGTAGGTCCCCAGAACACCCACAAATTCTGTCTGATTTGGCTACAAACTGGAGGTTCCCATAACCTCCTCTGCCTTGGATTTTGATTATTTGCTAGAAAGGCTCACAGAACTCAGAGAAATACTTATGTTTACTAGCTTACTATAGAATAAAGGATATGGATACAGATGAAAACCAGAATAAGAGACACAGAGGGTGAGGTCTGGGAGAGTTCGGGGGGCAGGAGTTTCTGTGGAGTTGGAGTACATCACCCTCCCATTACTTGGCTAAGTTCCCTAACCCAGAAACTCCCCAAAACCTGAACTTTTGGGGTGTTTATGGAGGGTTCATCACATGGGCATTTCCAGCCCCTCTCCCCTCTCTTGGAAAATGAGGGAGTGGGGCTGAAAATTCTAAGCTTTTGATCATGGCTTGGTCTTTCTGGTGACCAGCCCCCATCCAGGAGCCCACCCAGACTTGCCTCACTAGAACAAAAGACACTCCTATCACCCAGGAAATTCCAAAGGATTTAAGAGCTCTGTGTCAGGATCCAGGTCAAAGACCAATATTAGAATAAAAGATACTCTAGTGCTCTTATCACTTAGGAAATTACAAGAGTTTCAGGGGCTCTGTGCCAGGAACGGGGGCAGAGACCAATCCATGTATTTTCTATTACCTCATAGTTCTGGAGCAGGGTTTTGAACAAAGCCTGTAATTCCAAAGTCAGAGCCCTCAGAACAATGACAGCTGCCTGGTCACTTGTCCAGACCTCTGGCTTGCCCTAATTGCACGGTGGTGATTAATCACTCGCCCCCTCACTCATCAGCACTCATAACCTATCAGACCCTTCTAGATTTCTTCAGAGGGGTCTGTCTGCCAGCCCTCCAAAAGGACATCCCTGCTACCCCCGTCTTCGCCCAAACATACCGATGATCCTGCGGATGGGGTCGTCGGGACTAGCCACAGCCTGGATCTGGCCCTTGAGCACAGTCTCCTTTTCCGTGGTAAAGGGAGTGAGCCCACACAGGGCAAGGCAGCCGCTCACCTCCAGGCAGACTTTCTCCCCAATGGTAGTCAGGGCATCCTTCAGATGGAAGGAGCTTGAGCAGAGAAGGGAAAGGAGAAGGCAGAGAAGGGCCCATAAACAAAGTGCACATCTACCCAACTCAAGCCCAGGAAGAGCCCCAGTCCTGATAAGAGTCACAATCACCAATGCATGGACTGACATGTTCAAAGAGAAAATCTGTGACTCTCTCCCCTGCCACTAACCTTTCAGGCTGTGTACATATGACTCAGGGGACTTTCTCTCTCCCCCTCTCCCTCTCTTGGCTAGAAAGAACACTGGGAAGGGGAGGGCTCTATACCAGGCTATACCAGGGCTAACTACTCAAAACCCAAGTTCTTACTAGCATCTATGGTGAAATAAGCCTGGATTTGGCTTAAGAAGATCTTGAACACCACTAGAACAAAACACAAGAACCCAGAAATTAGGTAGTTGTGAGACAGGAGTGGGAGAGAAACTTTTCAATGGATACCCTTCTATCCCTTTTGATTTTTGAAACATGAGAGTGTATTAACTACTTTAAAACAATAAATAAAACGGAATTCCCAAAGTTAAGAAAACTAGCACCTTCATTTCCTGGGGCCCTTGAGCTCTCCTAGAGTATCTGTGGGGAGCCCTCCTGCTGGTAGGTTTTCTACAAGAAGGCAATTGCCCGTGTTCTGGGCCAATTAAATAGTGGGAGCAAATGTGCACGCCCTGGGACTCACTGCTGGAACCAGGTGTGTGTCAGCCCCCGAGTACCAGGGTAGATACAGCAGTGTGAGGCTGGACTGCTAAGAAGGTGCCAGACAGGGCCCCTTCATCGGTAGCTTTAAGCAGTAGACAAAGCAGATCTGCTGTGGGAGAACTCACTGACAGCCAAGGGCTACCCCTGTGCAAGGGCATCTGCTCAGCAAACCCCTCCTGGCCTAAGTCAAGGCTACTGAATCCCTGGTCACAACATGTGCACACACCCCTCACCATACCAAACACACGCATGCTTGGTGCAAACTCAGCAGGAAAATTCCTCCGTTATGTAAGGATGAGAATGTCTGGGGGACATTCCCCTTGAAGAATCTTCTGAACTGGACCTTGTCAGATAGTGTTTACTTACAACCATCATTCTATATGCTGTGAACCACATAAGTCACCTGATCGGACTTCACCGCAGGAGCAGTTACAGCAGCTGCCCTCGCACAGGTGTGGGTTTGTGCTGGGTGAGGAAACAATCCATTTACACGCGGCACAAAATGGCCACGAAGAACATGCCAAGGGAAAAAATCTGTACTCACAGCCCGATGACTGTGGGGAAACACCTCCTGCTTCTTATAGGACCTTTCCCTAGGGCTGTGTTGCCCAAACTGTTAGCAGGTTGTGAAAGCAATTCAGTGGATAGCAACCAGTATTTTTTTTTTTTTAATGTCT